AGAATGTTTCTCCTGTGCTTGAGAAGAATGTGTGTGTTCTCCTGCTGTTGGATGGGATGATCTGTATATATCTATTTGACCCCTTTGACCTAAAGTACAGTAAAGTCCAACCTTTCCTCATTGATTTTCTGTCTGGATGATCTGTGTTGAGAGTGGAGTATTAAAGGCCCCAACTATTATTGTATTGCTATTTATTTCTCCTTTTACATCTCTTAGTATTTGCTTTATATTACTTAGGCATTCTGTGTTGGGTGCCTAAATATTTACACTTGTTATATCTTCTTGATGAATTGACTCCTTTATCATAATGACTTTGTGTCTTTTGCCATATTTAGCTTTAAGTCTATTTTGTGTGATAGATGCATAGCTACTTCTGCTTTCTTTTGGTTATATTTGCTAGAAATACCTTTTTCCACCCCTACACTCTCTATATATGTCCTTAAAGCTAAAGTAATTCTCTTGTAGGCAACTTATCACTGGATCTTGTTTTTTTATCCATTCAGCCATCCTATGTCTTTTGATTAGAGAATTTAATCCTTTTATGTTTAAAATAATTATTTATAGGTAAGGACTTACTATTGCCATTTTGTTCATTGTTTTCTGACTGTTTTGTACATCCTTTGTTCCTTTTTTTGCCTCTCTTGCTGTCTTGATTTGATGACTTTTTGTAGTGGTATGCTTTGATTCCTTTTATTATAATCTTTTTTTTGTATCTAACACAGGTTTTTCCCTTGCATCTTTGGGGTTGGTTACTGATGATTATTGTGATCCTTTGGTCATGTCATGTTTCCTTGATGTTTTTCATGTTCCTTGAAGTTTTGCATTGCTGTCTTTTCATTTGAAGCAGCAGTCACCTCCTACAGTCTTTACTAATTGCCTTCAGGAGAGAAATACCTGCTCTGAGCCCTGGTAGTGATTCTGAGGCTTTCTCAGACCTTCTATTGATATAGCTGCTCCATACTTCTTCCTCCCTCTTGTGGCAGAAGTCTTAACCTTTTTCTTTTTTTCTTTTTTTTTCTTTTTTCTTTGCGGTACGCGGGCCTCTCACTGTTGTGGCCTCTCCCGTTGTGGAGCACAGGCTCCGGATGCACAGGCTCAGCGGCCATGGCTCACGGGCCCAGCCGCTCCGCGGCATGTGGGATCTTCCCGGACCGGGGAACGAACCCATGTCCCCTGCCTCGGCAGGCAGACTGTCAACCACTGCGCCACCAGGGAAGCCCCTTAAGGTTTTTCTTATGCCTTCTCTTGTTCTTGCGCTGCACCAGTACAGGTGATGACAGTCTCACTTTTGTTTTCCAAAAAGTGGCACTAAATCTCAAGTTTGTGGTGTTTCCCTAGCCTGCAGATTTGGGCGATTTTCTGCACATGCTCACTAGCCATTTTCCAAAGCTCACCCTGCCACCACCACTGGGAGCACACACAGGGAGCTGACCAAAGTGTGGGTGTGTGTGTGTATAGAGGAGGCATGCTGAGTACTGAGGGTACCCACAGGTCAATTGGGGTCATCCATGAGCAAGGCCCAACCAGTGTTTGTGGGCAGGCTTCTTGATGGAGTCCAAGACACAATTATTAGGATCCATGTCCCTTTAATGCCCTCTAAGAGGCCTATCTGCCGCTCTCTCAGCTTCTTCTTGACCCCCAGTCATGAAGCTCACAATTCAGTATTCCTCTCCAATGTGTCTGAAATTTGTATTATTTTTTCCAATGGTGTGTTGGAACCTTTCCTCTGGAAACCTGGACTTCCACAAAGGTTCTCACATCTGTGGGTGATTGTCTAAGACAGTGTTTTCCAGGGGCTCCTGGACTGTGGCCAAGAGAAGCTGGAACTGGTTCACAGGCTACCCCAGGAGCCATAACCTGGGACCAAGTCAATATGCCCTTTACCCAGTGTGTGGGTGGTTGAGACTCCTTCTGGGACATTTAGCATGTGGAGCTGCATCATCCCACAGCTCCCACAAAGGCACTGTTGTCCATGAATGGATGCCAAATTGTTGTTGAGGGGGCACGAAAACAATAAATCTCTTATTTCACCATGATGCTGACATTACTCTTGCTAATATTTCTACTTATGATTTTTCATCTGTGTTCATACTTTAACATGTAGATTTTTAAAAAATATGTGTGAGTAACATCCCTGTCCTGCTTTGGTGTTAGGATCATTCTGCCCTTGTAAAACAAATTGGGAAGTTTTCTCCATTTTTATATGCTCTGGAAGAGTTTTCGTATCATAGGTGTTTTGTTCTTAGGAGGTTTAGTAGAATTCCCATTAACATTATCTGGATTTGCTTTCTTTTTGTTAAGATAGGTACGTTTATTTCTGTGAAAAAAATGGCTTTGGGATTTTGATAGGGATTGCATTGAATCTGTGGATTGCTTTGGGTAGTATGGATATTTTAACAATATTAAGTCTTCTAATCCATGAAATGGTATGTCTTTTCATTTATTTGTTTCTTTTTAAATTTCTTTCAGCAGTGTTCTGTGTCACATTGATTGATTTTCATACATTCAACTATCCTTGTATCCCAGGGATAAATCCCACTTGGTCATGATATATGATCCCTTTAATGTGCTGTTGAATTTTGTTTGCCTAGCATTTTGTTGAGGTTTTTTGCATCTATATTCATCAGAGATATCGGCCTGTAGTTTCCTTTTCTTGTAATTTCCTTTTCTGACTTTGGAGGTAGTGTAATACTGGCCACATAAAATGAGTTTAGAAGTGTTTCCTCCTCTTCAGTTTCTTGGAAGAGTTTGAGAAGGATTAGTATTATTTTTTCTTAAATTCACATGGGGGCTTCCCTGGTGGTGCAGTGGTTGGGAACCCACCTGCCAGTGCAGGGGACACAGGTTCAGGTCCTGGCCCGGGAGGATCTCACATGCTGCGGAGCAACTAAGCCCATGCACCACAGCTACTGAGCCCTGGAGCCCGCGAGCCACAGCTACTGAGCCCACGTGCCACAACTACTGAAGCCCACACGCCTAGAGCCTGTGCTCCGCAACAGGAGAAGCCACCGCAATGAGAAGCCTGTGCACCGCAAAGAGGAGTGGCCCCTGCTCGCCGCAACTAGAGAAAGCCCACGCACAGCAACGAAGACCCAACACAGCCATAAATAAGTAAATAAATGTATTAAAAAAAAATTCACATGGAACCACAAAGGACCCCAATGAATGCATAAGGAAGAAGCAGTGAAGAAAATACAAATAGGAAAGAAAGAAATCCTCTCATATGCTGCAACATGTATGAACCTTGAGGACACTATGATAAGTGAAATAAGCCAATCACAGAAGGACACATACTGCATTATTCCACTAATAGAAGATATACAAAGTAATCAGGCTCATAAAAAGAGGGTTGGATGGAGATTTCCAGGCGCTCGGGGGCAGGGAAAACTGGGAATTTGCTGTTCAATGTGTATAGACTTTCAGTTATGCACAATAAAAAAGTTCTAGATATCGTGCTACACAATATTGGGATTATAGTTAAAGATACTGTATTGTACACTTAAATTTTAATTAAGAGGGTAGATATTGTGTTACATGTTTTCTACCACAATAATAAATTACTTGTAATAGATGCCTTGTAAATATATCTGTTGAATAAATGAAAAGTAAAAATAGGTAATCTTATTTATTATACTTAGTAATCTATCAAGATTCTTCCTTAGATTTCAAGATATTAATTGCCATTACATACCATTTTGGCCATCCTAACATATTTTAATATGTAATTCTCTTACTGCTTTTAGTTTCTAAATAGCTTAGAATATCAAATTTTATTTTCCCTTTAACTCAAGAAATTTAGAAAGATGTTTATAAAATTTAAAACAGATGTTGGGATTACCACTTTTTGCTAATTTCTAATTGTATATGATATTGAGTGAGAATATAATTGCCCTAATTTCATTCATTTCTTTTTGTTCATTGTTCATTTAACAAGTATTTATTGCATGCCTACTGTGTATCACGCACTATACTCATCAATGAGGATATAGCATGGTCAGACAAAGGCCCTTGTCTTAAAGGAACTTAAAGCCTAAAAATAAGTAAATAAATATGATTAATTTCAATTGGGATTAAAACCATAGATAAGTATTTAGTTTACTGTGATAGAGAATAGCTATTGCTGGAGGAGACATTATTATTATTTTGAATAAGGTGATCAGGGATACTTCTGTGGGTTGATGTTATATTGAAGGCCAAAGGATAAGTGAGAGTCAGCATATAATAGCCAAGGGAAGGCATTTTAGGTGTTAGGGCATCAGAAAGGAGGAGGTGTATGTCACTGAACCATAATGAATTGAGGTAGAGTTGTACAAGGTAAGGTGGAGATGTAGGGTCTTGTAAGCAGTATTAGAGTAGTCCAAATTATATTCCAAGTGCAACAGCAAGGCTGTACAGGGGTTTAAGCAGGCAAATGATTCTGGCTGTTCTGAAGGATGTTGGGTTTGGGGAAGAGTTGAAGCAGCAAGAGGACCAGGTAAGAGGTATTGCAGAGGTCCGGGTGAAAGACCATGGTAGTTGGAACGACAGGGGTGGCTAAGGAAATGAGATATAGACAGATTCACATGGATTTTGGATAAGCTGATAGGATTTGTTCATGGATTTGAAAGTGAGAAATAAGAAATGGAGAAAATCTAGATTCAGAGATTTGGGCTTGAGCACCTGGGTTGATGGTAGTGCTGTTTATTAATCTGGGGACTTTTGCTGGGGATACATTGGAGGTGGAAGGGTGGGGGAGGTATGTCATCTAAACAAAATCTGAGATGCATATTTTAGACATCCAAGTGGAATTGTCATGCAGGTAGCCAGAAAAATGAATCTGGAGCTCAGGAGGAGGTCTTGTTTTGAAATATACATATGGGAGGCATCAGCTACAGATGATGTTGAGGTCAAGGTACTGGAGAAGCTTACCAGAAAGAGAGTGGAGAGAGAGTATGGCGCAACCTGCCACACACCCAGGGCAGCTAACATTAGAGAGCTGCTGGCCCCACCTGGACCATTACCTCATTCCAGACTGTGACCACCTGTGTCCACACCCAGTGGCCCCAAATCAGCCTGGCTTCTGGTTTCTCCTTTCAGGATGTGAAAAAGAGTTAGCTCTTTACGTTGTCTTCAGGGCTATGGATAGAAAGAAATTGTTTCCTAGTTAAAAGAAGATTCCCCAAGGAAATGATCTCCTTTTTCCATATGTCTTTTGTTTTCTGTTCCCTTTCAAAACCTCAGTCTCTCACTCAGTCCACTGTGTTTGACCAGATGAAATCTGTACCCATGTAAAGTCTAAGGTTGTCCATGTCTGGGGAAAAAATTCTCAAAATATTTTGTTTCTTCTGAGCCGCCTGTGTGTTACAAAGATGAAAGTTGAAAGTTACAGATTTTTGTATGCAGTATTCAAGGTTACAGGAATAGTGTGTGTCTTTTTAAAGCTAGCAGATTGCTTTGAACATCTAATAAAACGTGAATAAGTTTATCTACATAGTAATTACCATCCACAATTCATCACTGCATTTTAACACTTTTTTAAAAAATGAAAATTATGGCCCTGTGAGTTCAGTTTCCAGAAAATGCTATTGGCATTTACCTCTTCTTAGTCAAAGTTGGTCAAAGTTTTTACTTTCTTTCTTTCTCTGCTTGCTTGAAGGACCCCTCCTCTCTCTGACCTCGACTCAGATCCTACCTAGTAACTGTACTCCTCTAGATATGAGGAAGCACGGTGTAAGCAGCTGTGTTTATAACTGTAAATTGACTGAGGATCCTTATTTTCCTGACCTGGAGAGGCAGTTTGCTGTACTGATTTCTTAAGCTCAGATTACCTGGCTTCAAATCCCAGTTTATCCACTTACTTATCTTGGGTGAACTTGGCCAAGTTATTTAACTTCTCTGTGCCTCAGTTTCCTCACACCTAAAATAGAGAGACTAAAAGTGTCAATCCCATTGGGTTTTTGCAATTAAATGAGCTATATGTAAATCATTTTGAACAGTGTCTGGTATATAGTAGGTACATTATGTGTTAGTCATCGTTTATCATCACCATCCTCATTGTCCACCCACTTCTAAGTTTTTTTGTGCTGTTTATGCTTTGGGGAGAAGATTTCATGTCTGTACTTTGCCACTGGTGGGTCTCTTGCATTTTGACCAACATTCGTTACCCTGCATATTTAGAAGGAAAAACTCTTTGTAGCTGCTTAGTTGTCAGGTGTTGCCAGGATTCAGGAGGGTAGATCGTTATTTTCACTAACCCAAACTCAGGCCCAAGACTACAAGCGAATTTTGCTATGACAGTTCTCCCTGGTAATCCTCCCCATTCTGTCTCAATGAGCTTCCCTTTTAAATCACCCCGTAGAACACTTTTTGCTTATTCTTCCCAATTCCAGGTTGCCCAAGTCTGTGTTTTCCATCCTGAACTACCTCTCAGTTCTCAGAGATGGAAAAGAGCAAAAGGATGAAGTGCTAATCGTTAATCGTAATCCCCCTGTCATCTGGAGGTTGGGATCTGGAAAGGAGAGGAATGGGTGGGCACAAATGGGGGGCTGAGGAGTAGGCAAACAGGATCACATTAGAGCTACTAACAAAATAATAACTAAAATTGATAAATAACCACACACTTCGCCATGGGGGTTCTCAAGCTTTGTTGCACGTTAGAATTACCTCCAGGGTACATCCCAGACCAATTATACCAGTCTCTGGGGGCTGGACCTAGGCATCCCAGGCAGTCAAACCAGCATGAGCACCTTGCTACTTAAAGTGTGGTCTGTAGAGCAGCAGCAGCAACCTCACCTGAGAGCCTGTTAGAAACTCAGTAGTCTTAAGCACTACCCCAGACTTACTGAATCAGAATCTACATTTTTTTAAATTTTTGGCTGCGTTGGGTCTTCGTTTCTGCGCGCGGGCTTTCTCTAGTTGCGGCGAGCGAGGGCTACCCTTCGTTGCGGTGAGCGGGCTTCTCATCGCGGTGGCTTCTCTTGTTGCAGAGCAAGGGCTCTAGGGCGCACGGGCTTCAGCAGTTGTGGCTCGTGGGCTCTAGAGCGCAGGCTCAATAGTTGTGGTGCACGGGCTTAGTTGCTCCGTGGCGTGTGGGATCATTTCTTTTCAGTCTTTATTCTTTTCTGCAGCGGTGAATTCCACCATTCTGTCTTCCAGGTCACTTATCCGTTCTTCTGCCTCAGTTATTTTGCTATTGATTCTTTCTAGTGTAGTTTTCATTTCACTTATTGTATTGTTCATCTCTGTTTGTCTGTTCTTTGATTCTTGTAGGTCTTTGTTAAACATTTCTTGCATCTTCTCGATCTTTGCCTCCATTCTTTTTCCAAGGTCCTGGATCATCTTCACTATCATTATTCTGAATTCTTTTTCTGGAAGGTTGCCTATCTCCACTTCATTCAGTTGTTTTTCTGGGGTTTTCTCTTGTTTCTTCATCTGGTACATAGTCCTCTGCCTTTTCATCTTGTCTGTCTTTCTGTGAATGTGGTTTTTGTTCCACAGGCTGCAGGATTGTAGTTCTTCTTGCTTCTGCTGTGTATGTGCCCTCTGGTGGGTGAGGCTATCTAAGAGGCTTGTGTACGTTTCCTGATGGGAGGGACTGGTGGTGGGTAGAGCTGAGTGTTGCTCTGGTGGGCAGAGCTCAGTAAAACTTTAATCTGCTTGTCTGCTGATGGGTGGGGCTGGGTTCCCTCCCTGTTGGTTGTTTGGCCTGAGGCGAGCCACAGCCACCCTGCCTCTGCAGGAGACCCTCCAACACTAGCAGGTAGGTCAGGTTCAGTCTCCTATGGGGTCACTGCTCCTTCCCCTGGGTCCCGATGTGCACACTACTTTGTGTGTGCCCTTCAAGAGTGGAGTCTCTGTTTCCTCCAGTGCTGTTGAAGTCCTGCAATCAAATCCCACTAGGCTTCAAAGTCTGATTCTCTAGGAATTCCTCTTCCTGTTGCCGGACCCTCAGGTTGTGAAGCCTGACGTGGGGCTCAGAACCTTCACTCCAGTGGGTGGACTTCTGTGGCATAAGTGTTCTCCAGTCTGTGAGTCACCCACTCAGCAGTTACGGGATTTGATTTTACTGTGATTGTGCCCTTCCTACCATCTCATTGTGGCTTCTCCTTTGTCTTTGGTTGTGGGGGTACCCTTTCTGGTGGGCTCCGGTGTCCTCCTGTTGATGATTGTCCAGCAGCTAGCCATGACTCTGGCGTTCTCACAAGGGGGAGTGAGAGCACGTCCTTCTACTCCGCCATCTTGGTTCGTCTTTTCTGTTTGTACAATTTTTGATGGTCATTCTGACCAGTGTGAGGTGATGTTATAGAGATTTTTTTAAACAAATTAATTTTGGCAATATAACCCAGAGGTAGATAAAAGGTCACATATACATAACATGCATCCATAGACATACATTGACCCACAGAGACTTATAGCTTCCATTCCAAATTTTAGCCATGAATAAGATACAACAATACAAAACTCACTTGTGTATAAATAATGATTGAATCCAAATTGTGTCTGGCAGATGGAACAAGTTAGGATTACCTGCTCCAGTGGCTAAAGCTTTTTACTAATATTTTCGGAGAAGACTTTAAAGATTTGTATTTGTCCTTGACAAGTAATATTATGGAGGCTATGGAGTAGATTTTGTGCAACAGAGCTTTGAAGGCAGTTGCATTATTAAAAGCATCCCCCCCACCCTCTTTTTCTTCAGTCTTAGGTGATTATGAGCAGTGTTTTAGTTACCATGTCTTTGAAATATAATCTCCCCAGGAGCTAAGATTTACATCTTCAAGGGACAGAGAAAGATTGTAAGTTTTCTCCTAGGAGTTTTAGTGCCCTTTGGATCGTTTCAGGAATCCCAATAAAAGGTAGTGGCACACACACCCCAGTAATTAGGGGAATACACCCTGTAAAAAGAATTCTCTGGACTCAGGGTCCAGGGGGGCCCATTCAGGGTTGGAAATGAAGAAGGGGTCATTTGGGTCACTGTGGTCATGGAAACCATCAACCCATTGGACTGTGCCAATTTTGTGCAGCAGGAGATGGTTCTTGTCTTAATGTTTTCCATTCACTGTGATGCTTAGCAGTGATCACTGTGGTGGAAGGCTGGGGATGGTGCTAGGCAATAAATATCCAAGTAAGGAGAGGGACGGCTCTGGTACAGGTATCGGTGGCTCTAGGAACCTTTGCCTTCTCTTCTCCCTCCTCCTCCTCAATAGAGGCCCCAATAATCTCGTCAGCTTTTCTTTTGGTGGCAGGAATGTCTCATGAGGCATGTTTCTCCATTCTGCCTCATTCAGGGGAAAGCTGAGGGGCTCAGGATCTGTGGTATCATACAGGAGAGGGGCAGGTTATAGATTTTAGGATCTTCAGAGATACCAACCAGTTAACACGTTTTGGCAGCCATGAGTAGCAATTCAGAGTTTGTTCCCCCCCAAAAAACACGAAAACCTGCAATGGCCAGTTAGCTTCCCCTTCTTCTTCCTCCTGCACAAAATCTTTAGGAAAGGTTTGGATTTAGTTAAGGTATAGTTTCTGATCTGTTTCTGTTGCACTTCTTGATTTTTTCCTATTGCCTCAATCGTAAGTATTATTATTGGAAAATTTTGAATGACATCACTGTGAGCCCTTTTTGTGGGCAGCTGCTTTCCTTTTCAGGGTGTGCCTCCACTAGCATGATATGCACAAGGTCTTTGGAAAAAGCCTCTGAGCCTCTGGAGCATAATACCACAGTCTTGGCGTGTTGGTGTGCTGGCACTGAGTAATGCCCTGGAAGCTTCCATGGGGTTTTACATTTATCAAGGAGCTGGTACACCTCCTTAGAGTTGTTAGGAGGTGCTGGCACCAGGTGCTCAGGACAGGACATTTATAAATATTTGTCCATTAATTGTTTAGCAACATCGTGGCCAGGATGATTATCTCATCAGGTCTGGGAGGCGAAGAGCAATAGGTAGTGATTGAAGCAGTGACACAGAGACTGTAGGCCTCTGTTGTATTTTCCCTTTTGTGGTGCCATCAGTTTCCTGTCAGGAGGCTATTTCACTGTTCTGGGTTAAGGCTCACAGTCCAAGCGTGACCCACCAACTCAATTTTCAGAAGTCTCCTATCTTCCTTACCTATAGGAATCCTTTCGTCCTGCCTTTAACCGAGAG